AATTTTTGTATTTGTAGTAGAGGCGGTGTTTCACCATGTCGGCCAGTCTGGTCTCAAACTCCTGAACTCAGGTAATCAGCCTGCCTCAGCTTCCTGAAGTGCTGGGATTACAGACATGAGCTACTGTGCCTGGCCACATTTCACTTAATTTTTTTTTTTTTTTTTTGAGATGGAGTTTCACTCTTGTTGCCCAGGCTGGACTGCAGTGGTGTGATCTCAGCTCACTGAAACCTCCCCCTTCCAGGTTCAAGTGATTCTCCTGCCTCAGCCTCCTGAGTAGCTAGGATTATAGGCATGCACCACCATGCCCAGCTAATTTTGTATTTGTATTAGAGATGGAGTTTCTCCATGTTGGTCAGGCTGGTCTCTCAAACCTCCGACCTCAGGTGATCCACCCACCTCGGCCTCCCAAAGTGCTGGGATTACAGGTGTGAGCCACCACGCCCTGCCATTTCACTTAATTTTTATCCTGCTGAATGAAAGTGTTTTAACTTAGTGATTTTAGTGTAAACAGGAGCAGGACAGAATGTAATTATCTAGGTCTTGCTCTGTCACCCAGGCTTGAGTGCAGTGGCATGATCGTAGCTACAGCAGCCTCGAACTCCTGGGCTCAAGCGATTTTCCCACCTCAGACTCCCGAGTAGCTAGGACTACAGGCGTGTGCCACCAGGCTTAGCTAATTTTTAATTTTTTTGGTAGAGATGCGAATTCGCTATGTTGCCCAGGCCGGTCTTGAACTCCTGACTCCAAGTAATCCTCCCACTTTAGCTTGCCAAAGTGCTGGGATTACAGGTATGAACTACTGCTTCTGGCTGAGAGTTTACTTTTGTTTGCTAGTGGTGTTTTTGGTATCTTTTCATATTTGAGGCTTTAGTGCTAGTTCTGAAGTATTACACTCACCATCTGAAGTTTACAGGACTTCTGTTTTAATATTAACAACTTTAGTTCTGCATCTTTGCAAGTATACACAATATGCCTACCAGGACTCTGCTTTATATCAGTCAAAAGCAAGAAGTAATAAAGTAAAACTTTGCCTGGCTAGAGGCTTTGAAAGAATGGAGTATTCTGGTTTAATTCTATTAACTTGGAAGTATGAAGGTGAAAAAAATTCAAAACTTTAATTTCCTGTTGAATGCAATTTGAAAATACAGCCAGTGGTCCACTTTTCTTCTCTAGTAAGTTTGGACATTCAGATCTACTTGGTCTTTTATTATAGAACTCCTAGTGTGCCTTAGACTTATACTGTGAAGGTCCCTTTCTAAAACTTTAGATGTAGGAGGATGTAAGTGGTATTGTGTAAGATCAGACTGGATAAGAACAGATACCTGTAAATATACTTTTTAGATTAAATCTCTGATTGACACTTGTTTTCTTGTTTAACTTATTAAACACATTAGCTGGAGGGTGGGAGTAGGAAGGAGATTTATGTCTTTTAATTGCATGTCTTTGTTTCATATAAAGACAGAACATGTAGTATCCCTGGCTTTGGGCCTACAGAAGGAAACACATTTTTCTACCTGCTGTATGCCAGCGGTTCCTGAACACCTGCGGGGCTTATTGCAGCACAGATTGCTAGGCCCTACTCCAGAGTTTCTGATTCATCAGGTCTGGGGTGGGGCCTGAGAATTTGCATTTATAAAAAGTTCTCAGGTGATGCTGGTGGTGCTGGTCCAGAGACTACATTTTTGAGAACCATTCTTGTATACTAACTGTAAATTGTAGAACTCTAGAAGAAAGCTTAGTTTGGTCTGGGACAAGAAGCACACAGGTTATGGAGCAAATCATGAAAGATTGAACCCTTGATCCCAGCCTAGTGTGGAATTCAGGTAACAAGCAATACACAGTGACATAACACAACTCTTGGTTTTCATGATTACAAGTCATAGTCAAGTATCGAGTGAGAAATTCAGTTTCATTTGCAAGGTTTGGAGAGGCCAGGTGATTCTCGTCAAATAGGATTTAGTGATTAACCCCTTGAGAGTAGGAGTTATTTATGTCCTTTTTCTCTCCCCCATCACTTAGCATTTAGCCTTACTTTAGAAGGACCTTGTACTTTTTTTTAAACTGGTAAAGAGCTTTGAGTGCTTATTAAATTGAAAGCTGTGTTTTTAAAGATATTAGACACGTTTCTTACTTAAAAAGTCTTAACAATAATGTAGGAGAATAAAATAATCTTTTTCCAAAAAAGAGAAATCATTGTGATTATTTTATCTTATTGGAATGTTGGATAATACAGTCTGCTGCATTAATCGTCAAGCATGCTATGGGTTTTCCACTTTTATAGGATTTGTACCACAATTAAGGTAATACTGGTAATTCTTGTGCTCCATCTGAAGATGAATAATAAAGGCCAAAATCAAAGACCTGGCATAGAAGCTGTATAATGAAGATAGCTCTGAAGGAACACATATACACACACATAGACACACATGTATATAAAGTACGTGCAGATTTTCTTTTTAAGTTTTAAAGTTTTAAAAGTGAAAGCCAGCCCTGACCCTCTCCTGGAGTGGGAAGGGACAGCAGTTGCCTGTGCAGCTTTCCTTGTGAAACCACAGGTCCCTCCGGCCACACTGCCACCTGGCCATGTCTCCTTTCCCTTTTTTTTCCCTTTTACCTCCTTTCTCATTGACCAATGGGCTTGGAGCATTGAGGCCATGCCCTTATCCTGCGTTCTATTGCGGCCCTGGTTACGCCTCCGCTGGCTCAGTCGCACAGCTGCGTGGTAGCTGGCTAGAAGTGTTTAGCAGTGGTTGCCAGGATCACACTGATGTGGTCCCAACCCCACCTCCCTCCCTGCCCTGTGGTGTCGGAAGAAACTGACACAGCAAATTGGACACAGCCAAGAAAAAAAGGTAAAATGCAGCCAATTGGCCACGGCCAAGAAAAAAAGGTAAAATGCACGGGGTCATGGCTACCTGACCCAGCCCCAAGCCCCCTCCGACAGCAGGACCACTGCCAGAGTCTGTGCCACTCCTGAGGCATACTGGGCTGGGCCTCTGGGCTTCCCCAGCCAAAGTCTTGTCAGCCAGCCCCACCCCATCAGCAGCCCAGCCCCCACCCTCACTGGTCACCCCTGGGTGACTCTGGGCTAATGACTCCCAAGGCTCTCCACTCCAGATTTGGTCCTCACCTCCTGCCACCCAAGCCAGACCTCCCTGGGCTCTTTGAGCTCACATCTCCAAGCACCCCCTCCCCCACTGCAGAGCAATGTGGCCCCCACAAGGAAGGAGTTGTTGGGAGAAAAGCTGAGTATTGGGAGAGAAGCTGAGGCAGGGCTTGCATGTCTGACATAAAGCAAAAGAGTCTTGGAACATGTCTGGGGTTCAGGGTATAAAACCCCTCATGACCTTTGGAATACCAAGCTCTGTGCTAAAGAGTGGAAGGCTGCCCTGCTGCACCACAATCTAAGCCCAGGGCATAAAACCCCTTGTGGCTTGGATGGAATCCAGGGCTCAGGGCATAAAACCCCTCGTGGCCTCTGGAATGTGTCTAGACTTGCTGGCTCCTTGCTTCTAGCAAGCCCAGGTTCATAAGACGAGTGTATCTTAAACTAGAAGAACATGTTTTCCATGATCTCAAGTAGCATAATGTGTTCCATATACTTCAAAGAAAATGCTAAACCGTCACAGCTGTAGCTCATTCACTTGATGCACTGCTTTCTCTCAACCCTCACATCCTTACTACCTGCTTCTTTGTTTGATCACCAGTAAATAGTGTGGGCTCCCAGAGCTCGGGGTCTTCGCAGTCTCCATACTAGCATTGGCCCCCTGGTCCCACTTTATGCCTTAACTAGTCTTTTCTCATTCCTTTGACTCCGCCGGACTTCGTAGCCCCCATGGCCTGGTGTAGGGTCTGATCATCCCAACAAGGAATGGAATGTAGTGAGTCACAATCCCCCTGGGAACTGTCATTATTGCCACAAGACCGGCCTTTGATCTTAGGACCCAATCCCCTAACTGTTCTCACCCCCTTTCTGGTTCCTCTGGTTGCAGCACAAATTTCCAGCTGGAAGGGGAATGGGAACTATGGAACCTGGGAGCAAGAGGTTTCAGGTTGCCTTACTCCCTTAACTTAGACACTGACAGTGTGAAAAGCTTACACTCCCCCCATCACCTCCTCCTGCACCGGTGAGCAAACATTGACAGTTGTCAATGGGAGAATGGGATTGGTTGGTTTCCTTCCAGGCGTCTACTCTTAAGAGAGACTTTAGCATTTTGTTTTCTGAGTTATCTACCTCATATTTGAGTTCTCCATGGTTCTGACACCAGAGTGCCTTTCAGTCAGTGGTCTCTGGAGTGAGATCTGCTCATCTTCTGTGGAACAGATCTTGGGAAACTGAACTTGACAGCTTGAATCTTCCTCATCTCATCTCAACCTGGGGTACTTTGAGTGGCACAGGATAAATATGAGGCATCTTTCTGAAGCATCAGTTTGGCTTCATTCTCTTGAAAGAGAAAAAATAATATACTTAGGGGTGACAGTCACATAGATTTCTAAGAGTATACCAGACTTCTCTCTGAAATGAGGCTTGGGTTGTCCTCTTTCTGATAAATTCCCAGATTTAACAGAAAGGCTGCCTTCTGTCATGAGGATACATTGATGTAAAAGTTTGAGACGCGCTGGTGTACTTCTTACACTAACAGATGTGTGCCGATGTGTGACTCTGAACTGCACAGTGTACAGTTCCTGCCTACTTCATGTTTACTTTTCTACATCTGCCTCTGGTTTTGGTCCCTGGCAGCTGCTGATTCATGGCAAAACCCCAGAGCTCGGAGTCAGAAGACTGAGTTTAAGTTTCATTATTGCCTTTTTTTTTTTTTTTTTTAGCCATCGTATCAATCCTTGTCTGTCCTTAAGTGATTATGACAACACCTTGTACAGTTGTTGGTGGCATTAAATCACATGGTGTATAAGAGTATTTTGTAAAAACCGTAACGTAGGATGTGACTGTAGGGGCTTGTAGTTCTCATGAGTATTACTGCTCTTCTTTTCCAAAGTTGAGAGAATATTAGCAGAGGAACAGCCCTTGTGTTCGGCAGGAGTAAAGAGGAAGAAAAGGAAACAAAATGGCAGTAGCACAGAGACAACAACTTCTGGTGGTTGCCACTCACCTGGGGATGTGAGTCTTGGCTGGCCAGGCTTCTGGGGACAAGGGGCCCAAGGGGCAGTAGAGGGTAATTGTTAAGATTGTGGAAAAACTGTCAGGTACTGGTTAAGAATTCTGGGTTCGAATCCTACCTCTCCATCTGCTAGGGATAAGATTTAGGGCAAATTGCTTGAGCTCTCTTTGGGCCTCCTTTTTCACATCTGTAAAATAGGGGTGCTATTGTTTTACATATATTTGTGAGGTTTAAATGAGATTTGTTATTGCTGTTGTTTTTATGTTAATCCCTAGTACAGGGTCTGCTGTAAACACCCAGGACACCCAGGAAATGGTAGTTACTGTTTGATTTTCCTCATCCCCATTCTCAAGGGGAAACCAGGCCAATGAGAACAGCCATTTGCCATCAGGCTGTCCCTTTAGGAGTCACTGAAAGGGCCCCAGCATGTGGTGAGGAGAACCCGAAGCACTAGGGTTAGGAGAAGATCTAACTTTTGCGTTCATCTTTGCCATCAGTTTGCTGCGTGACCACAGAAAAATCACTTCTTCCACTGGGCCTCAGTTTCCTCCTCTGTAAGATGATACCAGATAAGATCAGTGTCTTCCACATTTGTTTTTTAGCTGGAGACCCCTTTGTTCAAGTGAACGGTTACTCAAAAGTCTGGTTTTTAAAATAGAGGTGGAGGTCTTCTGGAGCTCTCCCAGATTTATCGCCCATGTCCTGGGCCTGTGGAGAGGGGTCCAGTGAGCATATGAAGAGCTGCACTGGTCAGGTGACCCCACTCCATGTGACTGCGTTGCTTTGCAGTCACATGGAGTGGGGTCACCTGACCAGTGCAGATAGATGACTTTCCCATCTATCTGTTCTGGCCCTTGGCAAGGCAGCAGGTGGCCATTTGGTGGGAGGAGGTCACAATCACAGGTCGTGGTTTTGACCTCCTCCACTCTTCTTTAGCATTTCGTTTCCCTGAACCCCTATCTTCCTTATTCTCTGACTTTCTTGCCTCTCTCTAAGTGACTCTTTCTCCCCCTGCCCTTGTTTTTCCCTTTTCGCTTCCTGTAGATTCAGGACCTTGTGAAGGTGCTGCGTTCCCCACACTGGACATGTGGAAGGTGAGGGAGTGCTGAGACTTCTCTCTGGCTTGCTCTCTCCAGCTGTGCATGCCCTTAGGCTTCTCTGGTTTGGGGGAATACTTTGTCTTCGGCTTATTTTATTTTGCTGCCTTAACCTTCAGCCTATTTGTGTCCACTTCTTCAGCTGTTTGACTGGTTTTTTTCCTTCCCCCACATCTTTTATCATTTTAGAGAAGGTGAGACATACCTTAAAGTTTAACAACAATTTGAGAATAACTTTCAGAGCAGGCTTGTGGGATTTGGGGCTTTTTTTTTTTTTTGAGATGGAGTCTTGCTCTGTTGCACAGGCTGGAGTGCAGTGGCAGGGGCACGGTCTCAGCTCGCTGCAATCTCTGCCTCCCAGGTTCAAGCCATTCTCTTGCCTCCACCTCCTGAGTAGCTGGAATTACAGGTGCCCATCACCATGCCCAGCTAGTTTTTGTATTTTCAGTAGAGACAGGGTCTCACCATGTTGGCCAGGCTGGTCTCGAACCCCTAACCTCAAATGATCTGCCCTCCTCGGCCTCCCAAAGTGCTGGGATTACAGGCATGAGCCATCATGCCCAGCCTGAGATTTGGGCTTTTGAATGCCCAATATGATGCTCTCAGACTAGGAGGGATGGAGGGAAAAAACCCAACCAACCTTTAGGTTTTGCCCTAAAGGCAAAGATCATTAGACCACATAGAAGTTTGTCACTTTTTAAAATTAATTCACTTTGGTTTAAGAGAGAAAACACAGGGTTAAGAGAAAATGAGTTCACATTATAGTTGGAAGGATTGAAGCTATTTTTTCAGGGGAACTAACTGTAAAAGATATGAGGTTAACCAAACAGATAAATGACTGAAACATTCTGCCCCTAATCTCTTTAAAATCAAATGAACACTTAGCCATATTCATTGGGCTCTTGATAGCAAAGGCACTTTGCTAAATAAACAATGGAGAGAATAGATGAACAAGGTAGGCTGCACACTGAGGGAAGCAGACTCGTCTGAAGGAGGCAAGAGAGAATTTTGGAACATTCTAAATGCTCAGCTCTGGGGTAGCTTGGTTCCGAATGGACTCGAGGCTGGGGGAAGTGGCATTTGAGGCTGACTTGAAGATTAAAGGTGGGTAAACATTCATCCATAAGGGGAGTAGGGGAGGCAGGGAGAGTGGTGAGGTCATGGCCATCATTATGAACTCACAGAGCACCTTTCAGGAGCACAGGGAGCCTGGTGGGGGGCAGGGCATGGGGGTACACGGGGCTAGGAGATGACTTCCTCTGGTTGTGATTTGGCATTTCCTTCATATCTTACTTGCCTGGGGTGCTCCTGACAAGCCAGAGGAGCAGGGCACAAATGGCACCAGATCCTGTTGAAGATGGGCATGGGGAGGGGGACTGAGACAGAGCACCCTTGCCTGCTGTTAGAGACTTTTCAGTCTTCACACCTGTTACCCGCCCCCGCCAATGGGTCAGGTCTGTCCAGGTGCTGTGACTCACCTTGCCAGCTCAGAGGAGGTACTGAGTGGTATGGTGCAGAGTACAGGCCTAGAGGCATCTTGCAGCCGTGTATTTGGCTTTTTCTCTGCCGATGGTCCAGTGGATTGGGGGGTCTGGAGCCTGTTTCCTAATGCTCTGAGATTCTGTGCCCAGCCCAGGTCTCTCTGTTCTGGAAACAAAGGCCCAGATCCCCATATTTC